GAAGCTGAGAGCAATGCTCTCTCTCTCTCTCTCTCTCCTGCTCCCTCTAAATGCAGGGAGGCTGAGTAAGAATAGGCCTAAACCTTTTTCAGAAACAGGAAGACCCACAGCCAAAGTTTTTGGTCACATTTGTTGGATTATTTTGTTACCATTGAGCTGTTGCTGTTGTTCTGTTACAGAAAACAAAAAAAAAGAACTTGCATATAAATAAAAAATATATATATAAGGAGACAAGGAGTAACCACACTGCCACAATTACAATACAGTAACAATGCAATGAATGCAAAAGTGAAGCGTTATGACTCATACCCTTAATGTGACAAGTGCATGTGCTTGTTTATATAACGTGAAGGATTTGGGATGTGGACTGCTTCAGGATAAGTTAGAGATATTCTAGTTTTAATGCAGTGTCCTACACTACCTACAGGTCAATCTAGCTATCTCAACCAATTATTATCCAGCTGGCCACTTGGGGGCACAATTGTTCCAGTTATTCCAGCTCTAAAGCCCTGTGTCATGGTTTCCACTAACAGCACTTTCAAAAGTTGCATCATTAACACCAAGGTCATTCAAAACTCATTCAGTCATTTCACATTATTTTTATTTCCATTTGGTGTTTATAGTGAAAAATGTTTTGATATTGGCAACAGCTTATGAGATACTAACCAGTTTATGACTAAATACCTCACTGACTTTATTAATTTCCAGACTTTCATATCCAGACTCTTTCCCAAGATCGAGTGAAAGTACAAATATGTAAATCTAAAAAATGTCATATCCAGACTCTTTCCCAAGATCGAGTGAAAGTACAAATATGTAAATCTAAAAAATGTCACAAGATGTCAGGATACAATGTAACCAAACATTTGCTCCACAGAGCACTGTGACTTGATTGTAAAGGTGTTTACATACAACATTTATGAAGAAATATAATAATCAGAAAGTGCAGTTGAAGACATCCCCTCTTAGCTGGTTTGGGCTCAAGTCGTCTCACAGTAAGGGCCCACCTTAAGAGTTTCAAGATGGGCTCTTAACACAGAATGCTTTCTTAGTGCTGCTGTTGAAGATGTCATACTGGCCTAGTGGTTCACTTACCATGCATTAATAAGATAAGAGGCCATAGATCATCTGTGGACCTAAGCAACAGTCCAGGGAGTAGACAGAGCCAGAGAAGGAGAGCTGTCTGTTGGGATCTTAGGATGGAAGAGTGATAATTGGTACAAAAACAACCAAACACAGCAGAACATAACAAAGTTATCATCTCATCTTGTCTCTATAATGTGGATTTTTTACTATGTTTTGCTTAGACAGTGTAAAATAATTCCTGAGGCTTATATAGATTGTGCACTCTCTTGGCAGGGGGAATGAAATGAGGTGTTATGGTGATCTAGAGTTTCCCGCTATACTTAACATGCCTCTCCCTTGGTGTATTAGAGAAGCATTAGTTTCAGGGAAGAGAAATTATCCTGATATGTTGTCTGCTTGGTTTTCCTTTAAGGAACGTCTGCGGACAACAGCCAATCAACCATAACTAGATCAAAAGCAGGAGATTTTGTTCTTGTAAGCAGAAATTAACACTTCATTCCCCTTTGTCTGCAGAAATTCAACACTACAGCCCTCGAAGGCTCTCCCAGGCAATAAAGGAGAAAATTCAATTATGTTATAACAGTGCCGCACCAAAACACAATTACCTTATTTTCTGGGGGGGAAAAATGTGCTTCTTTTCCTGCAGGCAGAGAGGTTCACTGGTGAAGCTGTTAGGCTTAGAGACATTTATCTGACAGTTCTGAGCATTCCTAATTATGAAATATAAGCTACTGTCTCATAGCAGAACATAGAAAGGTGTTACAGTCCAAAAAATACATCTGTAGGCCTAACTGCCTTAAGGGATTCTAACTTCCTCATTGTAACTTGCAACACTGAAGACATATGTATGTTTAGTTTTTAACCAATGATGAGTAAGTACATTGTTAGTGTGTGTGGCTCAGGGGGAGAACAAAATAAACTGCAACATAGAAAGACACTGTAGCCTTTGTAGAATTGACTGTGTCATGTTTCCTGAATAAAAAGTTCACTGACAAAAAAGACTAGATGATTTGGTCGTAAAGTGTGGGTGTAACTAATGTATCGATGTGTAGGGGTAGCTTCCATGGAAAGCGAATGAATTAATGAATGTATTTGAACAACTGCAGCACAAGACAGCGCCTAAACACTTAGTTAAATGTCCATACTTTTCAGTTTAATGTGGAGAAATGTCATTTTGTGTAATGTATTTTGAACACTGATCTGGTGCTGAAATTATTAGTCTATTAATCTATTAATTAATCAACAGAAAACTGTTTTGAAATTTTTTAGGTCATTTATCAAGCAAAACTTCCAAACATTTCCTTGTTCTGGCTTCTTGAGAATTTGCTGTGTCATATGAATATAAATTGAATATCTTTAGGTTTGGGATTTGTGCAAAGACAAAACAAGTCTGTGAACATGTTTTCTAGGACTCTCTGGGAACTTGTGATGGTCATTTTTGACCATTATTTTCTTAGATTTTATAGCCTAGACTCTGTATAAAGCCTAATCGATAATGACAACAATTGTTAGTATGCAGTCCTAAAATGACCCAAGATTGTAATATTTTATTGTGATACTACGATGTGCTTGTTTATTAATACTTTAGTCTCTTTGTACTCTTGACATATAAAGTTTTTTTCCCACTTAGTGTGGCACAGGTTACTCAAAATATCTTTTGTAATTTGGTTTAAAATGTAAATTAAACATTTTTGCACAATTTTATCAAGTTAATAGGACTGGAAAATGTTATCTTTTATTAAAATGTAACAAAAATACTTGTGGTACTGTGGTAGAAGCTCAATAACTGGCACAGGTATTTACATTATTCTGAACAAACTTTTTAAATACTGCACATTTGACGCTGGCTCAGCTGGCTCTCTGGTGCGGTCAGAACAACCTGGAGCTTAACATGCTCAAAACTGTGGAGATGACCGTGGACTTCAGGAGAAGCCCCCCACTCTATCCCCCATCACCATACTCAACAGCCCTTTGTCTGCTGTGGAATCCTTCAGGTTTCTGGGATCCACTATATCCCAGGACCTGAAGTGGGAGCCCAACACTGACACCATCATCAAGAAGGCGGTACTTCCTGCGTCAGCTCAGGAAGCTCAACCTGCCCAAGGAGCTGCTGATCCAGTTCTACACAGCCATCATCCAGTCTGTCCTCTGCACCTCCATCACTGTCTGGTTTGGATCTGCCACCAAAAAGGACAGGAGCAGACTACAACGGACAGTCAGGACTGCAGAAAAAATCATCAGTGCCAACTCCATTCAGGAGTTATACATTTCCAGAGTCAGGAAGCGGGCAGGAAACATCACTGCAGATCCATCTCACCCCGGACACAACCTGTTCCAGCTCCTCCCCTCTGGTAGGCGCTACAGAGCTCTGTACACCAAAACCAACAGACACAGAAGCAGTTTCTTCCCACAAGCCATCACTCTGATGAACAGCTGATTTCTGACTCACAGTGTCAGGAACAATTCCTGTGCAATAACCCAGTAACTCTGTCTCTAATCAGCACCTGTTTACTAGTTTCCACTTATTGTTTATTTATTCACCATTCTCTATTTCAGTGCTGTTCATACTATGTCATATTGTATATACTGTATACCAATACACCTACCTCAGGTCATAAGGTCATAGGTCTTATTTATTTCTCCCAGCATCCTTTGCACTGTGCTCCATCACACTGTGTACATGTGTACATGTATGCATGTATGTGTATGTGTACCTGTATATCATATCCACCTTCAACATGTACATAATGAGAATAGTTTACTCTTGCATCCGTTGCACTCTGATAACTGCACTATTTGTCAATATGTCTATATTGTTTTGTTCATATTGTGTATATTAGTGTTGTCTATACTGTAGTTTGTGTCTGATTTTATTTTATTATTATTTTGTTATTGTATTATGGTATTTTTGTATGAGTAAGCACATCATGAGCAATGTACAATCCTGAGTCAAATTCTTCGTATGCGTACACATACCTGGCAATAAAGCTGATTCTGATTCTGATTCTGATTTTGTGGTGCCAAGATAAGAACATAAGCCAACCAGTTAAAATACTTTGTATAGCCGAGTAATACAGCAAAATTTCCAAACATTTCTTTGTTCTGGCTTCTTGAGAATTTGCTGTGTCATATGAATATAAATTGAATATCTTTAGGTTTGGGGTTTGTGCAAAGACAAAACAAGTCTGTGAACATGTTTTCTAGGACTCTCTGGGAACTTGTGATGGTCATTTTTGACCATTATTTTCTTAGATTTTATAGCCTAGACTCTGTATAAAGCCTAATCGATAATGACAATAATTGTTAGTATGCAGTCCTAAAATGACCCAAGATTGTAATATTTTATTGTGATACTATGATGTGCTTGTTTATTAAGTAAATAAGTCAGTGGGCTGAATCACAGGTGGAAATTATAATATTAGCACCACAGCTGTTGTCATTCAACTCTTTACATAGCTTAATTTTGACCATATCTGACTATGTAATTAGTTGATTAATTAATTTCGTAGGCTCCATTATGTCGCCTAAAATGTAAGTTCCAGAGATATGCAACAATGGATAAAAGCTGTAGTTCATAACACCGCAAACTGAGACTAAAAATTCAGCAGCATCAAGTAGCCTATCAACTCAAGTGTAAACAAATTAAACCGAACACACGGGCTACTGTATGTGTACAAGAATCTTAATCGTTTTAATATCATTCTCAATTCAAGACATGTCCTTTAGAGTGACCTACGTGCCCTTTCATAGCTTTCACAGATGTACTTGAAGTGAAGCGATCCCCATGTAAAACGCAACATTTGAGGTCCTAACCTAAATGCAGTCATGAGTGTCAGGTCTATAACCCAATAGCGTGAGTAGGACTTGCCTATGGTAACCAATCAGAGATCACTTCCTCATCGCGGCCTGTGGTGGACTCCGTGTGTATTTGTCGGCCACGACCTCCCTTGCTTGGCTCTGCCTGGGAAGTACAGAGGCGTGGAGGCAATCCTATAGCAGGCGAGAAGCTGTGAAACCAACGTTCCCCGAGGGGATGTTCCGTTAAGACTTTAGGACTGAAATCAGCCACAAGACGCCGTGTCTGCGTGACTAAAGACTTTAACACACTACCTGGGTTCTCATGGAAGCAGATGGATTTGTGAGGAGGCGTCGGATGACAGCGGAGACTACAGGCAATGATCCCGGGGTTGCTGGTGCCTCTGCCGGGGCAGAAGTTCGATGGCTGGGGGGCAGGTTCTGGGGAGTTTCTGAAAGTATCGTGGGGAGCCTGACACCCCGGATCGGTGGGGAAACAGAGCTACAGACTGTTGATTGTATCTGCAGTGCACAGGATGCACAGACAGAGGACTCTGAACCAGACTATGAGGGTTTGCCACAGGGAGCTTCCACTAGCACCCACATGTTGGCTGGAGCCGTGGCCGGGATCATGGAGCACTGCCTCATGTTCCCCATCGATTGTGTCAAGGTAGCATAGCTCAGCGGCTAACCACCTGACTCGCAACTTTTTATGAATGTTGGGCGCTTTCACGGCCAGGGTCTCTGCCCTGCGGATGTTATTCTTGTAGCCATCATGTTTGTTAGCATAGCATATTAGCCTGCACGCTAACCTAAACACGCTGCAGAGCTGACGGGGTGTGAGTACAAGGTCAGTCTGCACTGTTAGCGTTTCACAACCCTACTAGCTTACTTGTTAACCTACTAGCTAGTTGTTATGACACAACTTCAACAAGATCAAACTCAGGAGCCCATTTGGTCACCTTGTTTATAACTACTAAACATAGTCATCAAATCAATCTGCTGTCAAAACCTCCACAGACATAATGTTACCTAACTAATCTGTACATTTTATGTATAAGTAATTCAAGGGGCGTTAGCTGGAAAGAGGAACCATTTCTTAATGCCAACTGCATCAACAGTTTTGGGAGTTGTACTCTGTTTACAAAACAAGGGGGTTGGTTGAATGTTGTTCCTAATAAGTTCCACTATTACTACAAGACAATCACTATTATTACAAGGCACACACAAATGAACTACATTGCAGTTTTGATACATTTTGGCCTGTTCACAGTGCAGCATCTGTTGCTACTTTCCCAACACACCGTTTGGTAGTTTTCGCATTGTGGCAGCAGGCCCACTGCTTCATCAGCCAGCAACTAACTGTTCGCAAAGGTCTTCTGATCACATGTGAGTCATGCAACTTAAGTTCTTATCATGTGGTCTTCTTTGTGATTTATGAGTTAGTTTTATTTTGTTTTTAATTTAAACGTAGCTAATGAGGCATGACCTATTGCCCCAAGAGATCAGCTAGTTATGGCTCTGCATAACACAGGCGCAGGGTCAGAGAGGCGGGGCAAGTGGCGGTGAGCTTTTGTACTGTCAGCTGTCCGTGTCAGACTGAAAAGCTGTTCATACGCCCATGCTTCATCCACGTCTCTTCCACCTGTAGTCCAAACTCTCTTGCGGCCTGTCCATCCTGAAACCTGGACAAGACCAATGTTGACAGAGGCTTCTAGTGTGTGGAGTGTATGCCACACAGCTATTGGGTTACAGCATCTTTCCAAGCATGCCACAGGAGATTTGGGGCATTATGACTCAGCAACATTAAGTCTACTGCACAGAAACAGCCACACGTTTTAGGTTCCTATTCCTATCATTAACGGTCTTCCCGTATACAAAATAAAGGCTTCTCCTGTACGATAAGCTCCCCACTTAAGAGATCATTTTGTAATTATTGTTTTAAAATCCGCTGTCATACTCCTTTTAATGTATCCTAAATCCCAGTAATTGGTTGTGGATTTGAAAAAGCGTGTTGCATTTGTAGGTCTATCAGAGTGTAAACAAGGTGCACATGAATGGAATTTGTCATAGAAAGAATTCTCTCCAAAGAGTGGTTTATGTAGTGTTTACATTAAGGACAAAGGTCATTGCTTTGTACATGTGCAAACATACTGTAGATAAACACGCTGTACCCATGGCTGTTAATCGCAAGACACCCATGCATGCTTTTGAATGGGGCATCAATGAATGAATGAATGAGGAAGCCAGTATTCAGATTACACTCTTTTCACTATCATGCAAAGGGATGTGCAATAGGGTTGTGTGCCAGGTGTGAAGTAACTTGATTCATATACTCGTACCACTGTTAGCTAGCTCTCTTTGGGTCCTGCATTCCACAGCTGTAGTACAGAGTGACACGAGGCCATGTTTATTCTTTGCTAGAGCTCTCCATGCACATACACAGTGGGGTGTAAGTTTGTCCATTCAGCTGGAAGTTTGGTATTCGGGGATTATGTTGCTGCTAATTCCTGGGAGGCAGACACACTCGTCCGATCCGTCCCCAGGCAACCCTCTCTAAATACTAAATGGCATCGACTGAAACTTTTATATATATATATATATATATATATATATAATCTCTAATGTGTCTCGGCGTGCATGTTTCTGTGTGTGTGTGTGTGTGTAAGAGGAAGAGAGGAAGGTGTGCTTTAGGGTCAGTGGGAAAAGAGGGTTACAGGAAGTCAGTTTATGTCCCCTTGTGACCTTGGAGCTTGTAACACCATACTTCCTTCTATTCAATTATGCATGTACACCAGCACACACCACACACAATGCCGAATACCTCATTTCCCTTATTTGACCCCTTATTCACACTGCAGCCTATCCAGCAGTCTTTTCATTGCCATGCTATTTTTTTTACTGTATTAGGCAGGCATGTGGTAAGACTTAAATTATCCATTACACCCTATTTTTCTATCCAACAGATCAAATTCATGGACATATTATTACGGCCAATACCTAGCCCTGGTGTGTGGGAAGTGACACACTGTACTTTGAACTTTGCTACATTCCACCTTTTCCTCTTTTCTAGACACGAATGCAGAGCCTGCAGCCCGAACCCGCAGCCCGCTACAGGAATGTGATGGATGCTCTTCGCCGAATTGTAGCCACAGAGGGAGTGTGGCGGCCAATGAGAGGGCTGAATGCAACAGCAGTTGGGGCGGGACCTGCCCATGCCCTCTATTTTGCCTGCTATGAGAAACTCAAAAAGACTCTAAGTGATGTCATTCACCCAGGGGCTAACAGTCATTTGGCTAATGGTACCATAAAACATACATATACACATTAACAGTAGCATTATACCGTAGATGTACAGTATCACGTATGGCTATCTTAACTTTTGAGATCACCGTGAGATAGGTTGATACGTTGTACTTGTTCAGCTACAACCCTAATGCCAAGCGGCATCATTGTGATCTCAATGAAGCTACTGACTCAGCTTAATCTGGTCCCAGTCCTAAAAACCCCTGGCAGGCCATCAAATCGGATAGAGCCTTTTCATAGCTACGGTTGCACCAGTGCCAGGGTCAGCTGACGATCTGTCGCTGGCTTTTAGAAAAGTTTAAACAATTTGTCTTATTTGGGTCAAGTTCAGCAGAGACACCTCCGCTGCAAAGTGCAAAAAGATTCAACTTGAAGACCTTGCCCTGAATGTCGACCATTTCCTTATTCCGTGTTCTCCCTACTCTGTCTCTTCCTTGTTTTCCAGTTTAGTGGGAGGCTGGGTAAGTCCTCTTTCTCCGATCTCATCTTCTCTTTCTTCTGTTGGTCCTGTCTGTTCCAAGTTTATGGGTTTGGTTTAATGCTCTCAAAGGAGCAATGAACAGTCTTGTCCACCGGGTGTCTCTCTTTTCTCAGGTTTCTCCTCCTGAATTAGGTCAGGAGTGACTTACACCTGTGCAATTTGCTGAATATGTGCCAGTTATGCTATAGTGATATATATTATTATGAGCATGACATTTGCAGCTTTTAGGAATAAGGCAGTGGAGGCCGTGACACGATCAAACGGGGCTCTTAGTGTTGCAAGTGAAAAGGCTTTTTCCAGCTCATTTTATGCCTCTTGACTGCAGTATGTTCTGTTTTCCTTCTGTGTTGTTGCTGATTTATCTCAATATGTAGTAATTTCCGAGGTGTGTTTGTTTCAGGAACAGCTGGGTGTGTGGCCACACTGCTTCATGATGCAGCCATGAACCCAGCCGAAGGTAAGGGCAACATTTACAATGCCATTTGCCACAGAAATATCAGTTAAGAAACATGCAGGTGCCACGTCTGAGCCAACCATTTTTTTTACATGCTGCCCTGAAGTCTCACATATTGACTTTCACAGCTGCGTCTTGTTCACCTGCCCAAACATGTCAGTAGAAGGACACAAGTCAGAGTCCTCGTGTGCAGCTGTTAGATGGGGTGCAGCTGCCTGAGCTTTTAAAATGGCACACTGCATCTTTCTCTGTGCTTTAAGGACAGTACTACTGCAGGTAACATCTCACTAATTTCTTTTTTTTCTTTTTCCGTCCTTGTTCCCTTCATACTGCCAACCCTGGATACATTTGACCTTCTCCTCCAATCCATCAATACATCTACCCATGTGTGTCCCTAGTTGTGAAGCAGCGCATGCAGATGTATAATTCGCCCTACCGTGGCGTGTTGGACTGTGTACGCGCCGTGTGGCAGAAAGAAGGCCCTGCTGCGTTCTACCGCAGCTACACCACCCAGCTAACCATGAACGTGCCCTTTCAGGCGCTCCACTTCATGACCTACGAGTACCTTCAGGAGTTGCTCAACCCCCACAGACAGTACAATCCCTCGTCCCACATGTTGTCTGGAGCTTTGGCTGGAGCCATTGCGGCAGCGTCCACCACACCTCTGGATGTCTGCAAGACCCTGCTCAACACCCAGGAGTCTCTAACCCTCGGCTCCCTGTCCTCCGGCCAAGGCCCTGGCAAGGGCCAAGGAGCCCACAGACACATCTCAGGCCTGGCCCATGCCTTTCGGACAGTTTACAGGCTGGGCGGCCTGCGGGGCTTCTTCAGGGGAGTCCAGGCGAGGGTCATCTACCAGATGCCCTCAACAGCCATCAGCTGGTCGGTCTATGAGTTCTTCAAGTATGGACTCACCAAGCACCAGCACGACAAGAGGAGAGCGCAGCACCTGGAAGCTTAGATGTAGATGTCTTCTCTCTTTAATCTCCACAAATATTTCTCTCCCATCCCTGAGAGGAGAAGATGAAGTCAATACGCACATAGAATCTGACTAAAATCCACCTCGGTTGTCCCATCCCCTTCAGACATAGCAGACAAGAAAGACATCTTCAAAGACAGTTTGAGTAGTTGCATTTCTGCTACACTGTTTCAAGACTAGATGTGGTTTGAGTTAAATTTTTTCTCTCTCCTAGGATGAAACATTTATACAGTATTATAGAACATGTTAACTGGGAGATCTTTTTAAGACATTCTGGTGACTACTATGTTTGTCCAAGCTGAGGATAAATGTGATGAAAGCACACATTTTGAGTTGGAAAGGTTGTCAGCAGAGGGCAGTAGTGTTACTTTGTTAACTCTCCTGTAGTTTCATAAGCTTTGCTATCCTAGGAGCAGATTTTTATTTTCACCCATCCAAACCTTGAATTTGACATTAAAAATTATGACTTACTCCTGAACCGACCCCTTATTGGATTCATGAATTAAACCTTTTATACAGACTATTCTCACAGTAATCCCAGAAAAGACAAGATCATTTTGGTGTCTAGTTCAGGCTTCACACAGGCATTCAGACACTTTGATCCAAGTGTTTTGGCCATATAGAATCAAAAGCAAATTAAATTAAAGTTTAAGAAAAATTTCTTGTTAAGCTATCACATGGCATGGATCAGTACCCAGATATTTTTCTGTAGAGATTGAATGGGACCCTGACAAAATGGCAACTCACAATAGTTGAAAAAGCAAAAGTTAAGACCATTTTATTGTATATCTTGATTATTTGAACTGTGTAATTTGAATACTATTCGATAATTTCACAGACTAACAAAAAGAAGACCATAGATCAGATTTTGGGTAGGGTTTTGTTTAGCTATTGGCAGGTAAAGGAATGAATATATTTATTTTCCCTTTTCAAATGTTTAAAATAGTTCCCTATCATGTATTTTCAGTAGCTCTGAAGTATCTGAAGTGCGCCTGTAATTTATTTTTAATCATTTTGTTTCCTTAAATGGTATTTTATTTCCAGCAAAATATTACTTTAAACTTTCCCTCTGGTTTTCCCCCATTTATGTGTTTAGTCCGACCTTGGATCATCCAAAAACTCACCATTAATGCCTTGTGTTTGACAGAGAAGACGATGCAGCTGTCAGCGTTGTTTTCAGCCTGTGAACTACTGAGTTACAATATCTCTGCTCAACAGCAAAGGTTGTATACAGTGTGCTTTGCCCCAAATAAGAATTCAGTATCCCACAAGTTACGTATCTGTGCCCCCATTGACTACACATAAATGGAAGTTGTCATTCTTATTGACTGATGTCTGACACTGAATTGCACTCGTTGAATAAAGACTGAGCAGTGTGGCTATACTCACTGCTCATAAACGATGGGAGTCCTCTTTTGATTTCTTTAAATGTTTCTGAATGCTTTGCTAACTGTGTGACGATGACTTAAAAGAAGGCTCATGCCTATTTGCCAGTTGTTGCAAAAACAACAAATCCGTATTGCCATTTTAATCTGGGTGTGATTATGAAATATTTAAGTCTTTGTCCTGTCCCTGGTGGATAGAAAAGAACGGAATAAATGCCGTAAGCCACATCTGCACACATGTGGTGTTTGCCTGTGTTTTCAGGTATTTATTTTTAGTTTGAGGCAGGTACAGTTGTTTAGTCTTTGAACACAGGTGCAGATTTCAACTTTGACCCACAAGACTGAAAACACAATTTGAACTTGTGGACACACTGCCTGCGTACAAACAGCTTGGAGAGTGAAGCTTTGGAATTCAGCAAATGATGCATGATAAAGTAAACGTCCATAACCTTGCTTTGACATTTGGAGCTAGCTGGCCTTTATACCTTTAGGACTAGTGAGCAAGTCCTTAGTCAAAATTGCAGGAGGATCTCTTTCTCCAGTGGAAATTGGGGCATTGAGACACTGGAATGCTTATCTTGAAACAGTAAAGCCCATTGCCAGTTTTACAGAGGGTCCTCGAAACATGCATTCCTATTAAGTGACAGATCTGTGAGATTAGAGCCGCATCAGAGGCAATAATTGTGTTAGAATAAAGAGAGACTGAGTCTAATATTTTTTCCTTACAAAAACTGCACACTCGTGTACACTCACTAACTCAACTGTCATGATAACCCATTTTCATAAATTCATGATCCATGCTGAAAGAAATGTTGACAGATGTCATAGTATGCATGTAGACAGGAATACATTTCCCCCCATCACCAGTCACTCTGGCGAGTCCACAACACCTAATTTTAATATAGAATGTGGAAGAAAAAGTAATTGTATCATTAAACCTGTTAATATGAGTCAATCAGTTTCAAAGTGTCACGCCTAGAATATAAAGTATGAAAGGAATAAAATCCTGTGCTACCAGTTTTGCAGCTAACATCTTATCATATTGTCTTATTTTTGACCAAAACAAGAACTTAAAATGGTTTTACTATTATTTTGATCTGTATAGAAATTTACATTACATTAATCGGACCCCTTCGACGATGTCTGTAAATATACAGTACTGTGCATAACTTTTAGGCAAACGTGGAAAAAATGATAAAGTAAGAATGCTTTCAAAAATAGACATGAAAATAGATTATATTTATGAATTAACAAAATGCTAAGTGAGTGAACAGAAGGAAAATCTAAATCCAATCAATATTTGGTGTGATTACCCTTTGCCTTCAAAACATCAATGAGCATCAAAGCATCAATTCTTCTAGGTACACTTGCACAAAGTCAGAGATTTTTTAGGCATATTGTCGGGTGTATGATTAAACAATTATACCAAGCAGGTGCTAATGATCATCAACTCAATATGTAGGTTTAAACACAATCATTAAGTGAAACAGACACAGCTGTGTGGGAGGAAAACAACTGGGTGTGGAACAGCCAAACTCAGACTCAGCAGACGTTTCAAGGCAGACAGGTTTCCAAATGTGCTGTCCAGGCTCTTTTGAAGAAGCACAAAGAAACATGAAATGATGAATTCTTCAATAAACTGGATCCAAGCTCCCCTCTACGAAGGCACTGAAGGGCATGGTCAGTGAAGTACAACACTGCCAAGAAGAAAGCCAAGGCTGACCTAGAGAAGGCTGATTTTGTCAGTCTTACGGCTGACATGTGGTCATCCATTCATATGGATGGGTACCTTGGAGTAACCATAATGCCATTGCATAAAACCAGAGGCAAAGATGGCAACTGGTGTATTTGGAGTCATCAGGTTTCACAAATCCCACATAGCCCAGCATATAATAGATGTGAAATGTGTGCTCAGTTGAGTTGTGACATGGCGCAGGGGCCATGTCCCATGGCGCAGGGGCCATGTCCCATGGCGCAGGGGCCATGTCCCATGGCGCAGGGGCCATGTCCCATGGCGCAGGGGCCATGTCCCATGGCGCAGGGGCCATGTCCCATGGCGCAGGGGCCATGTCCCATGGCGCAGGGGCCATGTCCCATGGCGCAGGTCCCACAACCTAAATCTCATTGTGAAGCAGGCCATTGACCAAACACCAATGCTTCATGGAATCCTAAACAAGGCATGGAAAATTGTTGGATTATTCCGATCCAGCTGCAAAGCTAAGGACAAACTTGTGGTGATGCAGGGATTGATGGGCAGATCAACAATGAAACTCACACAAGTGGTGGAGGCTAGATGGAACAACACATTTGACACGCTGCAGAGCCTGTATGAGCAACGTGAGCCAGTGGGTGCCACCACCCTCAACATACGAATCATTCTGGGTATTGGCACTGACCACATTGCAGGATCCAAGATTTAAAAATATGGCTTTTGAAAATCCAGTCAAAGCCCAGGAAGGAAAAAAGACGGCAAAAACGGAGGACTTTAGAAACAATGACAGCCGCTCACGCTCGGCTCTCTGATTGGGTCTTATAAGTCATGCAAAGCAGAAACACGATGCTACTGACCGGGTTTTTGACATGGTATTTTTATTACAATACCATGCAAATAACACATCTGCCTACACTTACTGTGCATGTCGCTGTATTTACTTTGCAACGACTCCCAGTCTGTTTTCCGCCGCCACACTCCTGTGTTACATTCAGTAACAGTCCCAGCTCCTTATTGGTGCATGCAAAAAAAAAAAAACTTATTCTGTCTGTATTTATTTTTTCTTTTGCCAAATCTTCTGTAACTAGGAAGAGACCATCTGCTTCATGTTTACACTGGCACGCGCATGCCCAGTGTATCTGAACGGCCAATAGATGTGACACCTCTTCAAACAGGGATTGTTAATGAACCGTCTCAGTCTCTCTCTCCCCCCAATTATCTCTACATGCATGTATACAGTATGTGTGGCCTGTCATAGTTTATGCTATCAGAAAGTTGTGTTTGTGTGATCCGCTCTTCCCTGTAATGCTAATCAGCCAAGCTAGAGCTTGCCCACTGTGTCTGTGGTAGTGAATCTCATGACAGACTGACTGACACGCTGACAGAAAATCTAATATGGTGATACAAATACAGAGGGACATCAAGTAGAAACTGGATGTCACAAATCTTTCAAATGTGAGTTTTGTCTGCCCTGCTATTTCTGCTTTTAATTTCTCAGTGTCTGCCTACCTGTGTGGGAAAGTGTGACTGAGGCTGTCTGCTCCAAATCTCAGCAGTCTGAGAGGAGTAATCTATTTAGTCTGGTCTTCTTTCCCACTTTTTTTGTGTAAGGGCGTGTGTTTGTGCACTTCAGTGAAGACAAAGTACGAGTAGGCAAGCAGTGTCAGGACAGAAATACTCAGAGACACATCTCAGTAGCTTGAAGTCTACTGTATTGGCGTCCTCCCCTCTTCTTTTCTATGAATGAAAATAAATCTTGTCACTAGACATACGAAAATCAGTCTCTTTCAAAGGTGCCAAGTTGACAACATTCAGAATTTGAAGATGGAAGCACAGTATTTACCTCTGGGTCTGTTCAATGATGGTCTTTAGTGTGGTTGCCTTGTTGCTTCTCGCTCACTGTCCCCTGGTTGATGGCTTTGACCCATTCCCAATTGATGATGCGACCGGTTTTGGTCTGATGTTCACAGACAGCGGATGTTGTGTCTGCTTTAGGTGTTCATTCAGTCAAGCCCAGTGTCCTTGCCATTTCACCAGTGTAGTGTTTGCCACAGCTGTTGCACGTGGTGTTGAAATAAACCACACTTTATTACAATCTGGGTTTAATTTTCATGCCTGTCATCCCTGAAAACAGATCAACAAGCATAAGCAGTCAGACACAGTCAGACACATACATGCCTAGTATTTTTGCATGTGCAAGGACATTAGGAACATGAGGAAGAAGAACAGACGCAGATGACTTGAGAGATAATTGGGAAAACGTAAATTTGATTTTTACAGCATCGCCTTGAGATCAGAGAGTCTCATTATATGTACCTGACTACTGGGTGAAATGTTCAACCCACCTGCGACATTTTGTGTTTCAAAGGTACAAAGTTTAAGCTGCACAAACACTTTTAGGCAAAGAAAATTAAGAAGAAAGTGTCACTTGATCCAAGTAAAATAGAGAATGTAGACTCACAATGATCTGAACAACCTGATTGTCAGCAAGTCTGACTCAATCATGTGGGGATTTGAACCCTGGACCAGTAGATCTCCAGAGTAGGTGACTTGCTGGCTGAGCTACTAGTGAGAAGATGTCTTTGCACACCTTCTCACAAGTTGAGGTAGTGACATCACATGTGCCAGACCCAGATGGTTTTGCCAAGAAAAGTTCTGCAAAAAATCACACATCATTTTGTTGGTTTTGGGTGTGTTGTTAATTATTTTGGTGGCACTTGATTGACGAAAGAAAATATTGTGCATACTGTACAAGTTATAGCACGATACTGAAAATCACTGCAGATTCACCGTTTGACCGATCTAAAAATCCTTTGCAACACTTGATATCAGCCATCTAGAGAATGTCTGTGTTGATTTTGGTAGCGTTTCAAGAAAGACTTGTGGAGATATAGATGTTAATTTATTTAACATATTCTGAAAAATATAGAGTGACTGACTTCTGAAATAACCATAGTTTGCAGTGAGGCAAACATTAGTCACAAATCAGTGGATGTGCTGAAAAAATTTCATCTCTGATTTTCGTAGATTTTTTGAAATTTGGAATAAGAAATGTCTAGAACTTTACATTTGTCGTAATAAGCCCCTCCCACTTTCAGCAATCATTACCAAATTTTATGCATCAACTGAGTAGTGACCCTAGATTGTACAAACCAAATTTTGTACGAATCCATGCAGCGAATTACGGAGGTATAAACTTTTTGCAAGTGTTCCGCCCCCTAGTGGAAGAATATCCCAAGACTGCTCAGCGAAGTTTGGACCGATCATCTGAACAGACGCGTCAAGTTTGGTTACAATAGCTTAAGCCAATTTCTTTTGAGAGTTTTTGAGAAAAGTCTCACAATTTGACATTTTTAGAGTAGAAGACCATTGGAGCAAAGATGCAGATGAATTCAGAAATTACAATGATGAAAGAAGTTTGACTGGAAACAAAGCCGTTTTCGAGATAATTGTAAAAACGCAAAGTTGATTGTTATAGTGCCACCATGAGGGCCATTTTTTTTTTTTTCGTGCGTAGTGGGTGGAATTTGCAACCCAAATGCCATTTTGGTGAGTTTTCGTCCAGCAGTTTTTGCTGCCCAAACACTTTTAGCGGAGAAAAAGAAGAAAGAAAGAAAGAAAGAAGAAGAAGAAGAATCAGAACAAAACCAATAGGGCTCCAGCTGCTTCACTGCTTAGATCCTTAACAATGTGGGCAGCTTCTAGTAACTTTGGTGTTTTCATGCATCATACGGGATTCTCATCATCGACTCCTTGAAATATTGGCCCAGATGGCCACCTGGATCTGCTGTGCCTTCCTCTCTCTATCCTCATCCTCTCTGATAAGAGGTTCTGCTCTGTGTAGGAGCTAGGATCTTTTATGTAGTATATGGTTAGTTCAAGTTGAGATGTTACGGTGTACAGGAGTTTACACTGTAGTCTTTATGCTTCCATCAGACATCAAATGAAAACAGTGAACTTGATGGTCTAGTGTGTGGGTTGATATCGTTCTTGTGTTGGGTGAAGCTGTCGATCCTGTAGTAGTGCAGTTGGGTGAAAGTGTTGTCTGTTTGACAGCACCAGTGACCATTTTCAGGACAATATGTTAAAATATGTTCCCAATGTACTTAAAATAAGAGGTGACAGGTGTGTTTTTATTGTCAATGCCAGCATGTTTCAGTTCTTGCTGTTGTCTGTTCAGTGAGTCCCATAGATGTTTTAAAATGTCATAGTAGGAAAAGCACCGATATAATTAATAACAATAACTACGGCTGCTTTCCATTTAAGTGAGCCAACTCCAGAGCCCTGATATAAGTTGGCTGGGACACTTCATTGGCTCAGAGCTATCATTCATTTTATTGGTGACACCAGTGCATTCCTGCTATTACAGGTCTTCTATTTTGCTGTAATACTGTTTTTATTTCTAAGCTTTGTGGTGGATAGACAAATCATTAAATGCAGATATATACAATCTACCTACAACAAAACCCAAAACTATCACAACAATCATAAAACAAACAAAGAAATAATATTTATTATATTTTTAATGAATCTGTCCATTCTGTCTCATATACTGTGACCATTTTACAGTACATTTTATCATTCTCATCAGCTGTTTCTTCCTGCAAATGTTGTTCTTATATAAAGTTGGTGGTAGCCAGATCAGTTATATATGATGCACTGTTACTTTTTAAGTAACTGATTACAATTTATTTTTTTGTCACTACCTTCTTCTTGTGTTTTCTCATCCCTATTTTAAGTAATTCAAAGAGAGATTTGCAATACTCTTTACCACTACTGCACTTTATCTAGCACAATCTGTGCAATGTTTAACCCCGGTCCTACCTGTACATACTTGCATCTGTAAATAGCGTACATATATACCCCAATTTTAATTCTTTTATAGTAATTTAATGTCTATTTTATTTGTCTACTGTTTGCTTCTGCTTTTGGTTTGGTTTTGCACTGGAGCTGATGCAACAAGTGATTTTCCCCATTGTGGGATTAATTAATAAAGTCTGTTCTAAGTCTATTCTATTCTATTTGCCCGTAGAGAGCGAACAAATAAAGGAACCTGACCAAGACTCTGACTTGTTTGATGATTTATTTAAACATTAACCACTTCAGTCCTCGCTCCTCTTAATAGAGGGCTGCCATTATGATATTATCGTCTACCATTCTGATAATGAGTGATGATCTTGTTACAGCAGTTACACCCTTTAAAGAAAACTATTTACTTTACAATTGACTAATTTAAACAGATACACAGAAGCGTCATTGCTGTCAGGGTGGCACACTTTACACTGTCAGTATTAATTACTCTGAGGTGTTTACCCAGTGGGTGTGTGTATATCAAACAAACCTGGAGCGCTTTCTCTTCTTGACTGAATATTATCGCTATTTCAAGGCCATCTTGTCTGACTGTTTTTGGACAATGATACACACACTGACACACACACCCTTAAAATTTGATGAAGGTCTGGCAGGAACACACATGCATACACTCCCTTGTGTATTGCTGCAAGCCTATGTTTTGGAAACTCAAGCCTCCGGTCAAAGCCCCTTACAGCAAGCACCTGTGGAAGAGTGTATTTCACACAGACACACACACACACAAGCACAAGCACATACTCCAAGGGTACTTAGGAATGTGACCGCCTGAAGGACTGAGGTCCTCTACAGCAACTCTCCCTGAGTTGCTGGCTTTCTCTTACTCTCGATATTTATGGCTCTTTTGTTGCTTCTCTTGTCAGATCACTCTTCATATATTAAGCCAAATCATGACTGGTCCACTCAGCATGAATTACAGAGTGATACAGGATTATGCCACAATGTCCACTTTATTCCATCCTTGCCAGCAGCTAATGGATGAGGTGTGATTACAGGCTCTTTCGTCTAACTCACTGGGATACACACAGACACATACAGGTTGTGATCTCACGCTCCTTGGGGGTGCTGCTGGATAAAGGAGCTGTTGTTGTACTCCCTTTGGCTGCTGCAGTCTCTCCCACTCTGGGCAGATAGAGCAGGTTTGAGGGGAGGAGAGGAGAGAAGCCAAGAGAAGAGGAGAGGCCAGAGCCTGAAGCAGAAAAGCTTCACTAGAGAGGAGTGGAGCAAACTAGCTTTTTGGTGCATACACTTAATAAAATTTGGTTCTTTACTGGTATTCTGATCCTGTACAACAATCTGCAGACAAGATAATCATAATTGAGATGTTATCTCTATTTTTTATCATGTTTCATTTCCATTATTGACCACAAGCAAAGTGCTAATTGGATTTATGCAATCTGATATAAATTGTATTTCTGAGAATAGTGGGCTTTGTTTTTCTGAAGTGATGCTGAAATATTATCTTGAAGCCACCCCCTTACTCAGGGCCGGATTTACCTGCTATGGGGCCTTGGGGTAAATGTGCACTGTGAGCCCCTGGCACCCCAGTTTACCTTACTTAGTTTGGTCATAATTTTATTAAACTCAACAATAAATAAAATAATATCAACTGGAATATTTAAAGAAAAAACTTTTTTTGACACATTGCCACTACAAGTTAAAATACAGTAATTTAGTCTGACGTTACTATCATACAGTTTTTTAATTTGAGGTACAGTATATTGTGTAATTTTTTTTGAAATGTGAAAAAGGATGTGAAAGAAAGAGATGAGCTGACGGTGGCTTCTCACAATACTTGGGTTCAGGAAATCACCACCCACTACTGAAGTGACGAGTCAAGTCACAAAATAGTCCAGAATTTCCAGTTAAGACTGCTTTATTGCCAAATTGTGGTAGATGTGTGTGTGTGTGTGGTTAGTTCAATGGACGCACACAACAGGCGGACACAAAGGCATTAACACTCCTTTTGTGACTTCATTGGAACTCTCAGATCTCTCAATTATCGTGTGAACTGCACTGGGCAGACGGAACATACCACTCTAAGAGGGGGGCGGAAAGTACCACTTGAAGATAGGGGGTAGAAAGTTCCATGTGTTGCTGGCCTTTTTAACAGCCGCTGCCAGATGAAAGCTGCACAGTAACACAAAAGGCCTGTAGATGATACATTATTTAGTATGGCAGTTTAGGGAGGCTGACGATGCGGGATACTGGCCTAAGGTAAGAATGATCTGCTACCTTCATTTTCACAGTTCTTACTCGGCCATCAGGGCCAGGAACAGTCTGGGTGATCAGTCCTATGGGCCACAAAGCCCGAGGTAGCTGGGAGTCGACGATCATCACTGTGTCCCCCACTTAAAGGTCTGTGGAGGAGTTAGCATGCCACTTCTGTCGTGCCTGAAGACCAGGCAAGTAGAATCTGATAAAACCCTTCCAAAAGTGGTCTGCCAGCAATTGGCTATGGCGCCACCGCCGTCTACTGAGGAGCTCTGATTCTGGGTACACCACCTGGGGCAATTACGCATCTAGCCACCCCATCAGCAGGATGTTTGGGGTGATGGGATCAGGGTCTGCTGCATCGGAGGAAGTGTAGCCCAATGGCTTAGAGTTTAGGATGCCCTCAATTTCTACGAGCACAGTCTGCAGGACCTCTTCAGTGATGGACTGGGTGCCAATGATGACTCGGAGTGCTTGCTTGAGTGACCTTATTTCTCTCTCCCAACAACCACCAAAATGAGGGGCACATGGTGGGTTAAAAGTGAACTTGATCTGGTGAGAGGCAAGCT